TGTTTTAACCTTATGCGATAAATTCTTGTACAGTATGTAATTATTGGTTTGTAAACTTTTTTAAGCGAAGTTTTCTTTGTTTTCTAGTATTAAAATCCTATGAACCTGGGTGTCAACCCAGGTACAACGAGTAATCTTTGTACCCAAGTAGACCCATTGATCAACCCGGGTTACCCGCAGGTCACCCGATGGGTCACCTGGATTGTACTTTTTGAGCCGGGTCAAAACACTAAACCAGTATCATTGATTTCTAATAAAAAGTCTTATTTGGCCAAAGAGATCACCTTAATACTGAAAAAAAAAAAAAATACATTGGTAAAAAATAGAGTTTTTACTAAAAAAAAGATAACCCTTGATTATTACTTTGTTAGCAAGATCCAAAATATTTTTCTCTTAAAAAATAATTGTACAATTTAAATAATATTTAAAATAATATAAAGCTGTATACATATAAATCATTCAATTCTCTCTACTATGACCTTAAACACATCACCATTCATACTGTTTTTTTATTCAATCAATTCTACTTATCAGTTATCATGTCATTACTAATGCTAAACACTTTTTTACTCAGAACACTAGTTGCTAGTATTGGGAGACAGTTTTTTGCAAATTTTGAAAGATTTGAATAATTAACTTTATTTATTTGCTACCATTCTAGAATATCTATATTTGGATCAATTAGTGTAAAAGTATATAAGTTAAGCTTGCTCTAATATTCAACACATGTTTTTTTATAAATTCATAATATTATATTCAATGTAGAAGATTTAACAATCAAGTTCATTAAATATTGACCATAAATAGAAGCATACTGATTTTTATATTTATTTTTAACACTATAAATAGTATATATAGTATAAATTAATATATTGTATCTATTACACAATTTACATTATATATTACAAACTAACATATCTTTGATTTAAGTAATAAGTTGGAAAGACTATTCAAGTTCCTCAAAATACTGGAATTTGAGCCATAGATCTAGCACTATTGCCAAAATATGCTATACATTAATCTTTTAACAATGATCTAGAAGCTTAACAGTTACAGCTTGACATCTTTGTATAAACCATCACAGTGTACTATGCCTTTGTTAGTTTTCTTTAAGTGTTTTAAGCAATATGTAGTAAAGAGGAATGACCATTGACTATGTTAGATACTCAGATAATAACATAATAGTTGTTACTATGCTCAATTGATATATGTACAAATTACAAATTTAGTATTTATTTTTTTTTTTATAATAAAAAATTTACAAACTATTATAACCTTATTAAAGTAATTTACTAACCATCTTTAAATAGTTTTAAAACTTTAACTAAAAGTTTGATTGTTTCTCATTTATCATCATAAAGGACATACTGTTGCAAATCTGTCTCAGCTAAAGCAACAATATCTAATACTATTTGCAGCATCATAGCCTAATTACATATTTTAAATATCAAATTTCACCTTATGCTTATGTTAAGAATTGGCTTCAATTAATTAATACTGTAAAATTAAATATTATTCTTAATCTCTCATGACATCTTGGCGATCCTTTAATACTTTTAATTAATTTGTGCAACTAAATAAAAAAAATTAAAATAATAATAAATAAATAAATAAAAATGATAATATTTAGTAAACTTAAACATATTACATTTAATTAATAAAGATACTAACTCTTTCTAACTTATTTCCTACAATATTTAACATAGTTTGCATGGCAAGATTTAAAACATGGATAAAGTATTGTACCAATTGCTTGAGTATTATTGAACTGGATACCGCTTTGTGATAAAAATTCTGCAAAAATTTGCAAAAATCTATTATTAGATGATGCATTGTTGTATATAATCACAACTATTTTTGAAATAATTCTCATATCTTAAAGATATAACTCTATTGCATTTGAAATTTTAGCACCTGTATATAACTCTCTTATATTAATAAAGTTTAACAAAATATTTCTAAGTTTTCATGACTTATTAAAATAGTAAATAGTAAATGATTTATCAAATGAATTGGTTGTCCAAATATCAGTAGTTACTGCTATCTTTCCAGGGATTTCTTGTAGCTTTGCTTGAAGTCTTATGTGTTCTTCTTCAAAGTTATCTCTTATATGTCTTCTTATTAAATTAGCTGAAGGTGCTATAAAAAAATAAATTTCTTTAAATATTTATATTTTTATTATTATATTGTATTATAATTCAATGCTATATCTGCTGCATAGAGCTCTAAATACTTAAAGATTAATTCAAGTTTTCCATCTTTGATGATTTGAAATAGTTAGTTATATTTAATAATCTATCACTTGATTAGATTATTTAATTCATCTTTACTGAAAGGTTCACAGAAATTATTATTGATCTAATAAATATAATTATATCTTAAATAACTTGTATCATCTCCAACTATTGTATATTTTCAAAACTTATATTATTTTATTTAATATATCAATAACAGAAATACTGTCTTGTTTTTTTTTATTCAATTCTCTTAACTCAGATACTTTTCTCTTATACTGCTTAAGATGCTTTTTAAGATTTGATGTAGTTCTATCTTGATACACTAATTTTGCCTTACAAAAATTACATTTTGCAAAACTATTTTCCTTTTTAAAATACAACTATACAAAAAATCTATAATATAAGTAAAGTATTTTAAATAAAATAAAAATAAAAAAATCCTCTTTGGAAAGGCTTTATTTTATCTGGTAGATACAACTTTGCTATTACTAGCTTGGGAAGCTTTACCAACTTCAGGTTCATCCCGGCAAGTAGGTATTAGTTTAATATTTTCATGTCTATCTAAATAGACTAGTATTGGTTTATAATCTTTAGGTCTAAAGTAAGTAAGCACTGGTTTACAATTTTCAAGCCTACTTAAGTAAATAGATGCTGGTTTATAATTTTTAATAT